CTACCCTCGCAGTCTCACTGCCCCGTCCCCAGCCTTATATTGTAACCTTTCCAGTCTTCATCCTTTCCTAATCTGTCGCCATTCAGAGAATAATCCACCTCCCTGTTCTGCTCCAAAGTGGATAACCTCACATTACCCACATTATACTGCAGCTGGCCACCCATTCAACCTGTCCAAATCACACTGAGGCTTCTCTGCATCCTCCTCACAGCTCACCCTCTCTCACAGCTTTGTATCTTTTGCAAACTGGGAGATATTATTATTTAGTTTAGAATGATTTAAATTATTCCCATATGTTGTGAATAGCTGGGATCCAAGTAGTCACTACCTGCCACGCAGTAAAAGACCCCTTTATTCTTTCTTTGTTTCTGGTCTGCCAACCAGTTCTCTATCCATATCAGTACACTACCCCCACTCCCATGCACATTAATTTTACAATCTAATCTCTTTTGTGGGACTTTATCAAGAACTTTTGAAATTCCAGGTAAACCACATCCACTGGCTCCCCTCATCGACTCGACTAGTTACGTCCTTGGAAAATTTCACTAGATTCGCCAAGCGTAACTTCCCTTTTGTAAATCCATGCTGACTCTGTCTGATCCTGTCACTGTTTTCCAGTTGCTCTGTTATTAAATATTTCATAATGGACTTTAGGATTTTCCCTGACATCAGACTGAACTGGTCTAAAATTCATAGTTTTTTCTCTGCCTCCTTTTTTAAAATTAAGGGGTTACATTAGCTACCCTCCAAACTATAAGAACTCTTTCAGAGTCTATAGAATCTTGGAAGAAGAGCACAGATGCATTCACTATTTCTCAAGCCACTTCCTTAAACATTCTGGGATGTAGATTATCAGGTTCTGGGGATTTATCAGTTTAATCCCATCAATTTCCTCAAACCCATGTCCATACTAATATTGATTTCCTTCAGTTCCTGCCTCTCACTGGACCCTGTATTCCCCAACAATTTTGGGACGTTATTTTTGTCCCGCTTCGTGAAGACAGAACTAATGTATTGAAAGCAAGAGCTTTTATAAATAAATAAAAAGGAAGAGAGAAGCCATAGTCAACATTGGTCCCCCAGCGAATGAGACTGGGGATATAAAATGAAGGAACTAAGAAATGGCAGAGGAGTTGAATAAATACTCTGCATCAGTCTTCAATAAATACTCTGCATCAGTCTTCACAGTAGAAGACCCTGATAGCATTTCAAAATTACTAAATAGTCAAGGGGCTAAAGGAAGCGATGAAATAAATACAATAACAAGAGAAAAGTGTGAGGGAAACAAATGGGACTGAAGACTGATAAATCCCCGGATATGATGGAATGCAAACTGGGAAATTAAAGGAAGTAGCTACGGAGGTTATGGACACACTGCTAGTAATCTTGCGAGAATCCTCAGATTTTGGAAACATCGCAGAGGATTGGAAAACTACCAATATAAACCTTTATTTCAAAAGAGGAGGCAAACAGCAGGTGACTATAGGCCAGTTAGCTTAATGTATGTTAATTGGGAAAATGTTCAAGTGAATTATAAAGGATATAGCAGCAGAGCATTTAGAAACACATAATATGATCAAGCAGAGTCAGCATGGCTTCATGAAGGGGAAATCATACCTGACAAATTTACTCGGGTTCTTTGAGGAGGTAAAGGGGAAGCAGTGGATGGAATATATTTGGATTTTCAGAAGGTACCACACATTATCCACAAATAGGATAAGAGCCCATGGTGTTGGATGTAGTATATTAAATTTACATGGATAGACGATTGGCTAACTAATAGAAGACAGGCGTTATTTGCAGGCTGAGGGATGGACTTGTGGCTTTGCTTTTCTGGTGGAGGCGAGAAGTGATTTAGACATTTCCCTTTCCTTTAACTATTTCTTTCTGCTTCTGTTTTTCACCTGTCTTTTGTATACCACGATGGCGTTGGAGAATGGCAGCTTTGTACACTTTTCACTGTACTCCTGCATTCCTGTACTTGAGTACATGTGAAACAAAATCTAAATCTAAGGGGAGCATTTTCAGGATGGCAGTCTCTAACTGGTGGAGTGCCACAGGGATTAGTGCTGGGGCCACAATTATTTATAATATGTTTGATGACTTGGATGAGGAAAGTGAATGTACTATAGCCACGTTTATAAAATAAGCATGAAGGCAAGTGATGAGGATGAAAAAAGTCTGCAGAGGGATATAGACTGATTTTAATGAGGGGACAAAAACTTGAAAGATGGAATATCATGTGGGAAAATGCAAGGTTATGCACTTTGGCAAGAAGAATAGGGGAGCTGAATATTATTTAAATTGAAAAAGCCTGCAGAAAACTAAGGAACAGAGTGATTGTCCGTGAATTACAAAATGCGAGCATCCAATTTCAGTGGGTAATAGGGAAAGCAAATGGAATGTCAGCCTTTCTTTCAAAGGCAATGATATAAAAGTGCAAGGCTTTGCTAAAGCTGTACAAGACAATAGTCAGAGCACAGCTGGAATGCTTGGACGCCTTATCTAAGGAAAGATAGACTGACATTGAAGGCAGTACAGAGGAAGTTTGTTAGGCTGGTCCCAGGTATGGAGAGACTGTTTTATGAGGAGAGATTCAGTTGGTTGGACCTGTACTTGTTGGAGTTTAGAGGCGACCTTATTGAAACATACAAGATTCTTAGAATGCTTGACAGGGTAGATGCAGAGAAGTTGTTTCCCCTTGTAGGAGAGTTTTGGACCAGAGGGCATTATCTCAGAATAAGGGGTCACACATTTAAGATAGAGATGAAGTGGAATTTCTATTCTCAGAGAGAAGTGAATCTGTGGAATTCTTTACCACAGAGGACTGTTGAGGCTGGGTCATTAAGTGTACTCCAGGCTAAGATAGATGATAGTTAATCAGTAGGGGAATAAAGGCAGAAAAATGGGAGTTGAGGATTGTCAGATCAGCTATGGTGTCACTGAATGATGGAGCAGACTTGATGGGCTGAATGGCCTATTTCTGTTCCTATATCTTATGGTCTTATTTAATTGGTCTGCCATTACTTTGTTCCCTTTGATAACTTCCTCTGTTTCTGACTGTAAGGGACCTACATTTGTCTTCACTAATCATTGATCTTTATGTCGTCATTGTCTTCAGGAATAGTGCCAGAAGACTGGAGACTAGCAAATATTGTCCCCTTGTTCAAGAAGGGGAGTAGAGACAACCCTGGTAATTATAGACCAGTGAGCCTTACTTCGGTTGTGGGTAAAGTGTTGGAAAGGATTATAAGAGATAGGATTTATAATCATCTAGAAAGGAATAATTTGATTAGGGATAGTCAACACGGTTTTGTGAAGGGTAGGTCTTGCCTCACAAACCTTATTGAATTCTTCGAGAAGGTGACCAAACAGGTGGATGAGGGTAAAGCGGTTGATGTGGTGTAT